CCGTGTGGGGGGCTGGGTTTGGGGAGCCGCCCTCTATCACCCACAGAGCAGGGCCGATCAGGGGGTTGGGGCACCGCCACTGTCATCCTCAGGGCAGGGCCAATGGGGAGGTTATGACTCTACCCATCACAAACAGAGCAGGGCCCGTGGGGGGCGGGGGGTTGGGGCCCCGCCCCCTGTCACACATAGAGCTGCAGGGCGATCAGGGGGTTTGTGGGCTGCCCCCTGTCACGCTGCTCCATGGGCCAGGAGGCCTCGCTGCTCCACTGATCCCAGTGCTGGGACGCTCCACTGATCCCGGGGCCAGGAGGCCTCGCTGCTCCACTGATCCCAGTGCTGGGACGCTCCACTGATCCCGGGGCCAGGAGGCCTCGCTGCTCCACTGATCCCAGTGCTGGGAGGCCTTGCTGCTTGGCTGATCCCGGGGCGTGAGGCCTTGTGGCTCCCCTGATCCTGGGTTCGGGAGGCCTCGTGGCTCCACTCATCCCGGTGCTGGGAGGCATATTACCCTTTTACTATATAGGAAAGAGGCCTGGTGCACACGTGAGGGCTAGCTGGTTTGCCCTGAAGGGTGTCCTGGATCAGGGTGGGGGTCCCGCTTGGGTGCCTGGCCAGCCTGGATGAGGGGATGATGGCTGTTTGCAGCTGGTCACACCCCCTTCAGGGTGGGGGTCCCCACTGGGGTTCCTGGCCAGTCTGGGTGAGGGGCTGAGGGCCGTTTTCAGGCAGGTGGGTGACTGAAGCTCCCAACCTATCCTTTTTTTCTTTTTTTTTTATTCTGGGATTTATTTACCTTCTATGGCTGTCACTGGAGCTGAGCGTGGCTTTAGCTCTGAGACCTCCGTTTGTTTGGCTTCTATAATTGAAACACTGTTGCAACTCCAGCTCAGGCTGGCTGGCTGAAAGCATGGGGCTTGTTTAGCTTCTATAATTGCAACATTGTTTCTTAGAGTGCAGCTCAGAGGCCGACAGCGGCAGGCGGGGAACCCTGGCTTCCTCCATCTCTGGAGCAAGCAAGCCTCCTGCTCGCTTCAGCTGCCTGACTGCCGGCCGCCATCTTGGTTGGCATTTAATTTGCATATCACCCTGATTAGCCAATGAGAAGGGTAGCAAAGTTACGGTTAATTACCATGTTTGTCTATTATTAGATAGGAAGGTCTTTTATTTCTAGAAGTTGCACTTTGCTCTTTTTTAAAATTTTATATATATTTTTATTTCAGAGAGAAAGGGAGAAGGAAAGAGATATAGAAGCATCAATGACAAGAGAGAATCAGTGATTGGCTGCAATGCCCCCCACTGGGGATCAAACCAGCAACCCAGGCATATGCCTTTGAATGGGAATCAAACCTGGGACCCTTCAGTCCATGGGCTGACACTCTATCCACTGAGCCAAAGCAGCTAGGGTGCACTTTGCTCTTTTCTATATCTTCTATTTATCTCCTTATTATGTTCATCCTTTCGTTTAAATGCCTCAACATTTTTATAATAGCTGTCTAAAATTCTTATCTGTTTTTGATCATTATTGGTTTTTTTAGCCTATTTATATTTGCTCATTTTGATTCCCACTTTCCTCCTTCTTCCCAGTAATTGCTAAGTTTCTAAATTTTTTGTACTTCTTTTAAAGAGCAGCTTTACGTGGAAGACAGTTAAATTGCCTGCAGATCAGCTTTCAAGACTTGAATTTAAGCTCTGTTGGTATGTACTTATGGTGGCCTTTAATCTAGGGCAATTTAGCCTTAATATGAAGGCATGGCCCTTCTGGGGTCTCTATTAACTGTACTGGATATTCAAAAAGGTCTCATTAGTAATTGCTAAGTGTCTAAATTTTTTGTTCTTTTAAAAAGCAGCTTAACTTGGAAAGTAAAAGGGTCTCATTACTGTGTGGGGTCAGAACTCTACCATTTCTCAATTCTTTGTTAGTGCTGGTACTTGTTTAGCCTATAGCTTCCTAGTAGTTTTTTCTGTTCTCAGTAATTGTTCTTTGACCAACCACTTGAAATCTCATTCTAAATATGCAGGGCACAGTATTCAGCTAGAGACTCAGTGAGACCCCATGCAGATGTTTGGGGCTCTTTATCTGGGCAATGCCCTTCTCTCTGATACACTGGCCCACAAAGTCCAGCCACTGCAGCCTCCCTGATCCCTGATCTGTTTTCCCAACTCAGTGAGACCACCATGTTTTGTTTAGAATCCCCTTCCATGTACTATGTATGATCCAGAAAGTTTCTCCAGGCAGAAAATCAGCAAAATACATATTAGGGCTCTCTCCCTTTTTTTCCTTCTCTCAGTGATCAAAATTCTGCATTGCCAGTTGTCCAAAGTTTGCAAACAGATGTTTCATAGACTTTGTCTGGTTCTTTCTTTATTTACAATGAAGAAAGGCAGCCGGGACCCGGGATTCCCTCGCAGCCCCAGCTTTGTCCAGAAGAATGTCCAGTCTAATTACCATATTATGCTTTTATTATTATAGATGTGATCTAAATGGGTTCAAGCAATTAGTTCAGAAAAACCAAAACTAGAAGCCACTGCCCCAAATGCTGGCAATTGGGAAAATTACTCATGTAAAATTGGACATGCCCTAAGCAGAGATATGGTATGAGTAGCTTCATGCTAGGGATTTATTGATCAAGGTTATGCTAACTAATGGCATAGTATTTCATATTAACCATAATAAATTATATATCCCAGCCATTTCTTCCATGCCATGCCTCCCAGCCTGCAGTCCAATGTGTGTTGACTCTGGCAGGACATGCACACTGAGATAGTGTGTGGTACTGGATTTGCTTTTCATATGGTTGAAGGGGTTAGCTAGTTGCCTTGGTGATCAGCAGAGGTTCAGAAATATAGACACTATGACAGTGGTGCCAACCATGGATATATTTTATTGTGGAAGAGGGTACTTCACATCGCTTGGTATTTGTAAGTTGAGGTACAAGTCTGCTATGCTTTGAATTATATGTAAAGCTGTATTGGTCTTTCTTTAATCCGGAATATATTATTAAGAATTTGAGGAAGATGCTACTTTGCTCTTCAGACCTTAGGGCAACTGCAGAAATAGTATAGAAGAGAGTGTTTGCTTTTTAGATCTAGTCAGAGAGAGTTTGCCATACAGGAAGAGGGCTAGATACTTCTAACTGTGAATTAAAGGTCTATATGAACTTGTCAGCTTATTGGTATACATGGTTTATTTTAGGGCCAGATGCTCATAAACAGCTTGCATGCTAATTATGAAAGATGCCCTGTGGGAGATAGTGTAAGGCAGTGGTCAGCAATCTGAGTCAACAGAGCCAAATATCAGTAGTACAACGATTGAAATTTCTTTTGAGAGCCAAATTTTTTAAACTTAAACTGTATAGGTAAGTACATTGTTATTAACTTAATTAGGGTACTCCTAAACTGACCTTTGCTAAAAATGTCCTCAATCTGATTGAGGTACATTTGCTGAGGTTGACCCCTTCCAACTCTCCCATCCACACTCGTCTTGTATACTTGTTTCAGATAGACGAGGGTGGATGGGAGAGTTGGAAGGGGTCAACCTCAGCGAATGTACCTCAAAACAATGTACCTTCCCCATGCTGCATATCCCACGGCCTGTGCTGTGTCTCCCATCGCCCAACGGACCAACATCCCCCACTTCTTCAAAACACCATTTCTTCAAAATAGACTTGCCTAGGCTGAAAACCGACTTCTGTGCATGGGCCACGAAGTTTCAATCGCACTGTACGTGTGCACCCGCACATGGTATTTTGTGGAAGAGCCACACTCAAGGGGCCAAAGAGCCACATGTGGCTCGTGAGCCAAGGTTTGCCAACCACTGGTGTAGGGTAATGCATAAGGGGTTGGGGTTTTAGAATCCAGTAGTCTGAATCTAAATCTCATCTCTGCTCTGGCTGGTGTAGCACAGTTGGTTGGAGCATGGTCCAGTACACCCAAAGGTTTTCAGGTTAAATTTTTGATCAGAGCATATACCTAGGTTTTGGGTTCAGGCATATGGGCATGGGAGGCAACCAATCCATGTTTCTCTTTCTTCCTCTCCCTTCCTCTCTAAAATCAATAAAAAGTCCTCAGTGAGAAAAAACAACAGATTTCATCTCTAATTTGCTGATTATTCTTGGAGTAATTTACTTATCTCTCTGAGTTATAGTTTCTTTCTAATGGTGATTGCCTCCTAGAGTTGATTTGAGGGTTAAATGTGACAATTCCAGTAAAAAGCTTAGTACAGGGTCTGCAAACAGAAATTGTTCAATAAATGCTGCTAACTATTGTTATTATTTTAAACAGTGAACTTCTAATTAGCATTTTTCTAAAGTGAAACCAAGAATATATGGAATTAATTCTTGTGTTTTGGTTGATGATGGGGAAAAAAGTGTAGGCTGGCCAACAAATTCTGGAAAATAGGTTGGCTCTCCATATCTCTGGATTTCACATCTTTGGATTCAATCGGCTGCAGGTTGAAGGTAATGTTTTACATCCACAGTTGGGAATCCATAGATGTGGAGGGCAACTGTATGCATTATTCTGCATCATCCTATATAATAAAGAGGTAATATGCAAATTGACCCTCAAACCCTCACAAGATGGCTGCAGGCGACTAGGCAGGCAGGCAGGTGAGCGATTAGGAGCCAGTGGACCAGGATTGTGAGAGGGTTGTCCGACTGCCAGTTTAGGCCCTATCCCCAAAATCTGGCCTAAACCAGAAGTTGGACATCCTCCAAGGGGTCCCGGACTAGAGAGGGTGCAGGCTGGGCCGAGGGGACCACCCCCTCCATGCACAAATTTCGTGCACTGGGCCTCTAGTTTTATATAAGGGACTCCAGCATTCATATGTTTGGTATTTTGGGGTTCCATAAAACAATCCCCTTTGGATACCAAAGGTCATTTGGGGGAGTCAAAGTTACATATGGAGTTTTGACTGCATGGTGATTGATGCTTCAGTCCCCATGTTGTTCAAGGGTCAGCTGTGATTGCATCTTAAATTATTACCCTTGCCTTGTTTTTTTCATACTAATCTGTGTTGAGTCCAGTGGCTCTTACCCAAAGGTAATATTGTCCTCCATCAGATATGTGATAATGCCTAGAAACATTTTGATTGTCATGAATGGTGGGTACCTCTGGCATCCAATAGGTGGAGGCCAGGGAACCTGCTAAAACATCCTACAGTGATAGAATGCCCCTCACAAGAAATAATTATCTGGCCCTGGTATCAGTAGAGTCGAGGTTGAGAAACTGTTCTAGTCTGATGGCGCAGTTCTAATTTCACTGCCCTGCTTAGAAGCTTCCAGTGCTTCCCTTATTTCCAAATGTATTTATCCTGTTTATCCTTATTTCCCAATTTTCACTCTATATCAGCAATTTTTAGCCTTTTTCATCTCCTGGCACACATAAATTAATTACTAAAATTCTGCAACCTACCAAAAAATATGCTTTTTGCTGATCTGAAAAAAAAAAAGGCATAACTTTGATTCACTCACACCAGATGGCTCTTGTTGTGTTGACTGTTTTCACATTTTTATTTAACAGTCTAAGGGAAAAGAGGTCAGTGCCTCTGATTAAATAGTCAGGTACTGCATGTTTTAAAAATTCTGCAGCACACCAGTTGAAATTGCTGCACTGTTTAGGTACTGGTCTCCTCACTGTCCAGTCAAAATATGCTTTCACTATCTTTTTTTTTTTTTTTTTTTTTTTTTTAGTAATTCTCACCCAATTATATTTTTCCATTGATTTTTAGAGAGAGTGGTGGAAGGGAGGGGGTGAGGGGAAAGAGAGAGAAAAATATCGATGTGAGAGAGACACTTTGATTGGTTGCCTCCTGCAGGAGTTCTGACCAGTGCTGAGGATCAAACCTGGAACTCAGGTACTTGCTCATGATTGGAAATTGAACCCGAGACCCTTTGGTGGGTGGGCCAATGCTGTAACCACTGAGCAACAAAGGCCAGGGCATAATGTCACCTTTTAAAAGTCCTATCTGTTTTTCTAGGTCCTTCCCACTGTCAAAATCCTACTTATCATTTCTAAGGACTATATCTTGCCCATGCATAAAGGGGTTTTTGATGATACCAAAAATCCTTTTATAAGAACTGGAATCTTTTAAAGGAAGTTCTATTTTAACATTTTCCCTCATTAGAGTCCCTACTTCTCCAATCAAAAAAACTGAATGTACAGTCATCATGTTGTATATTATATCCCTAACACTTATTTGTCTTACTAGAGGCCCGATGCATGAAATTCATAAAAGAGTAGGCCTTCCTTACCCCGGCTGCCAGCACTGGCTCCCCTCTGGCACCCAGGACCCAGGCTTCTCTTTGACTGCCAGCAGGCATCTGGGACCCAGGCTTCCCTCGCAGCCCTGGCTTTATCCAGAAGGTCATCCGGAAGGATGTCCGGTCTAACTAGCATATTATGTTTTTATTATTATAGATTAGAGGCCCAGTGCATGAAATGCGTGCACTGGGGGGGAGGGGTGTCCCTCAGCCTGGCCTGCACCCTCTCCAATCTGGGACATCCCTCTCACAATCTGGGACCGCTGGCTCCTAACTGCTCACCTGCCTGCCTGCCAGATCACCTGTAACAGCCTCTGCTTGCCTGCCTGATCGCTCCTAACCAGCTCTGCCTGCCAGCCTGATCGCCCCCAATGGCCCTCCCCTACTGTCCTGATCACCCCCTAACTGCTTGCTCCCCATGCAGGCCTGATTGTG